TACAGCTATTTTGTAACTGAATAGAATAACAATGGAATTTGCATTTTTAGATTGGATTAATTGCACAGCCCTAGTAGGATGAATGCATATTTAGGAAGAGTTAACTTTTTGAAGTGAAATTAATTTTAATAATAAATAACTAAATAACAAAAAAATAATACTATACAGTGCTCAGAATTCTATAAATAGAAGAACACAATTACAATAAAATGCTAACTATAACTAACAATAATTTATACTATGGTTACACCACTATTTTGACAATATATGTGATTCATGTCTTAATTTAGCAAGGAGGTCACCAAGGGAGTGGACTCCATGTTAAAGACCCTGAACATTCAACATTGAAACATGGCAATTCAAAGTGTTATGTCATTAAACCTGTCTCTGTACTGTACTCTGCCCACTGGCCCTGAAGCTTTCTTTTGTGGTTTTTGGAAATGCCCCCACTTTTCCGGTCCTGCTCCAATTTTCTTTAAATACAACCGTAATTGGTTTGATTTCCTACCTCCGGCCTGCTGGTGAGGGGGTGCAGAAGACACTCAGAGCCAGGCAAAAGGGACAGAGGTCCACAACAGGCATTCTGCATGCTTCACTGCATGCTTCACTGCAGGTTCTTTATGACCAGATCCTAGAAACCTGTCAACACACAAATACAAATAAAGTCAGATGTGTTTAAGAACAAGCAAAAATGCTTGTGTCGCTTGTGTGTCCTTTAGTCCTACCAAAAACAAAATTTTCTCGTCTCATGAAGAAGGATCAACGCAAGCCTTCTTTAACACCATGCTAATCATAATAAAGAGTAATACTGGAGTTCTATGATAATAATACAATGATGTAATTTGGCATATAAACAAAATAAAATGCAACCCAAAAAAATAAAACAATCACTGCAATTCAAGAATTACTTGTGCCCCCAACCGAGTCCTGGTTCAAATAGAAAGGACGTAGGAAGATTGAGCAGATGAGGTGCAAGGAGAACACAGGGGCAGCCTGGGGCAGGGCACTTCCCGTCAAGCGACAGTCCTCTGTGGAAAAATGTGGTAACCACTAAATTAAAAAACAGAGTTCTGAAGAACTGCAGGAACAGACCAGAGCAGTGTTCATCCCAAAAGAAGAAGCAGTAGTGTGCAACCACATGCTGAATAAGAGAAGGCCGCAATCGTAAAAAAAAAAAAAATCAAGTAAACTATTGAATGCGAATGATCAAGATATGATATATGTTTTGTTGCCAGTACCACTCATAACTATATAAATATTGGGAAAGGGTGAATAAACGAACTTGTTTTCAATACTTCCATTTTAAAATGTACAACTGAATGCTGAAAGTTTTTTTATTTTTTATGACCAGGGCTAATATCACAGATCTGGAGCAGGATAATTGTGTTTATGAACCTGAAAAACAGCCTTAAATGTCTTTCTTTTTATTCTGGCTCCTGGTGAGTTGACACAGCAGTGGTTACACTGTTATTAATGGTTAAAGCATTTGCACAGGCTGTCGTTACTTAAAACAGGCTGCAACATAATGGAGGAGGATAAAAGCCATTAGACTGGAGGGCTTACCAACACAAACTGCGCACAGGCTTTAAGGGAGCAGCTGAGGGCAATCGATACTTCTCTCCTCATCCAACTTCTTTCCTGAGCAAAATAATGCTATTCTTATCAACCGCAGGTCGACATCGAACCTGCACATCATTTTAAAACTTTACTATTATATAGCATAATAAACATAATGAATAAAAGAATACTATGTATTATTATGATTTACCAATATCTACGACAGCATTTCTCTGACCATGCAGTTTTCAACAAAACAAGAGCCGGTTCAGGGCACAGAGTGTAGTCTGCAGTCACATGGCATCACAGCATGAGCGGTGGATGGGAACTTTTGTTTAACTGTGCAGGCTTCTGCAGTGGCTGCTCAAAGACACATGCACAGCACAGGCACTATAAGAGAACACCCACCCAAGATGTTTCCTCTGTTTTCTCTCACACCTACACAAGCAAAATCCTCATACCATATCAGATTGAAATGAGCTCTGACACACTACAACATAAAGAATGTAAAAAAGGTGTAATTCCTGTGTTGAGCTGAGACTGCTAACAGTATGTTTGTACTATTAATAATTATTTTGAGAATGGCAAGCAGTGTCAAATACATTTCAACTGAAGATTTCAAATGACATTGCAGCTGGTGTCTGTGTCTCTTGTTTTTCCTCTTTCACAACACTAGCTTTATGACCACTCATACAGGTCTACCTTCTCTTCCACCCCTCATTTGCTTCCTGTTAAATGTGCTGACTCTGTTGGGATAATAAGACCACAAATCCAAGCATTGAAACATTTAAGCATCGCTGTCAGCTCCGCTCTCTTTATGGCTGAGTGCCCTCTTGTGATCAGTGTTGTGAACAGCAGCACACAGACCCAGGGCTGCCCGAAGTTAACCACATCTCTGCCACATGTGACCGTGGGGGACCCTCATGGTTAAGTCAATGCATGGAAATGGGGGGAGATGGGCATGACAGTGTTTGTGGGCAGCCCAGGGCCTCACCAGAGTCTCCTATCTCCCCAACAGGCCACCACAGTAGCCACTAAAGCCCGGAGAGGGAAACTCTAACCCTCACCACAAATAATGAGGGCTAAATAAACACTGCAGCACATAAAACCTCCAACATACCGTGTATTTGACGATGTGGCGCTGGCAGAGAGGAGGTGGGCTCTTTCCTGTTGGGAGTATATTACAAGAAACCTTAGTATTGTTTTTTGTTTTGTTTTTTTTGTTGTTTTTTTTACTTATTAATGTTCTCATGTGAAAATATTACACAAGTATAGGCTACAGCAGTTTAAAAAAAAAAATCAAACACTAAGCTAGTTAACATTTAGGTTTAGCTACATCGTGTAATTATTATATCATCGTTTCTGAAGTGACCTTATTGCCAATCGTTGCTTGTTAAAGTAAAGAAGGCTACATGTAGACTGTTATACTCAGGAAGAATGGCACATTTTTACAAGATTGAGGAAAACACAGTGAAAAAGTAAACACACCTGGGAGCACTTGTCCAGTAGCCTAAGAGCAGAGCAGCAGGCGCCATCAGAGAAATGGGTTAGGAATTAATAATAATAATAATTGAATAAAAAAGAATAATAACGATAAAATAAATAACATTTTAAAAAGCCTAGATGTATACTCGAAATATTTAAATTTTTAAGTAGTAAGACTTTACTTAAATCAGTAAAAAAAAAAGTTTAGACTAGAGCAGACATTGAGTCAAACTCAAATTTGGCCCGCAAAATAATGTATTAGAGCTGACCCCCCGATTACAGATAGACTATAGAGACATTATTTATTTAAAATGTTGTTATTACCTCCGCCAAGGAGGTTATGTTTTTGCCGGCGTTTGTCTGTTTGTTTGTTTATTTGTCTGTTAGCAACATAACTCAAAAAGTTATGGACCGATTTTGATGAAATTTTCAGGATTTGTTATCGCAATTTATATAAACTAGAAAAGCACTCAGAGAGCGCAGATCTCCGCCAAGGACTACCCCCATTTTTTATATAAATCTAAGCCTTTTGGAATATGAAAGAGGATCCCATTGTCCATCCCTGAGTCAAATTTCATGGGGTTTGGTCAATAATTAACCGAGATATTGAGAAAAAAAATTTTTTGGCCCCATTTACCACAATGTTAACTAAAATTTCAAAGTGATCCAGGATTTCTTCCGGACCACCCCCAAAATGAAATCAGTTCTTCCTTGTCACATTTCCAACAAATCCTGAAAATTTCATCAAAATCGGTCCATAACTTTTTGAGTTATGTTGCTAACAGACAAAAAAACAAACAAACAAACAAACAGACAAACGCCGGCAAAAACATAACCTCCTTGGCGGAGGTCTGCGCTCTCTGAGTGCTTTTCTAGTTTTTTATATTATGCTTGTTCTGGATTCAGTGTTTAAGCAAAACTATTATTAAACATTTATTTTAATGAGATTTAACATTACATATCTTGAAAGAAGCGAAAACATGCAGATGTTGTTGAAATGTTTCAATAAATATTTAGTTTGGCCCATTTAATCCCAATTTTTAATTTTGGCCCTTTGTGAATTTGAGTTTGACACTCCTGGACTAGAGAGATGGACTACCACGCGCCTGAACAATAGACATCAATCATATTCATACTGAAATATCATATGCATTTTGTATTCACAAGTGCAATTCTTAAACCTGGGAATTTATCATTAATTCCATCAGTGTATGTTGGCCTAATTGCTCCCCATACAATCCTAGAAGAGGGCAATAGAAGGAAGACTAGTCCTTCTATTGCCTTGACCAGACTTCCCCATTTACCCGGGACAGTCCCAGTTTTGAGCCCTGTGTCCCCTGTCCCAACAGATTTCTCCAAAACCACTGATTTGTCCCAGTTGTATATAAGAAATGTCCCAATTGTCCCTATTTTTTGACCAATTTGTTAGTCACCAACAGTAAAGAGGGTGACAGTAAATTTCCTCTTTACTGTCACCAACATAAAGAGGGGATTTGTTAAGATAAAACACAGAAAACTGTAATTGAAAATGGTATCAACAAAAGTCCCTCAGATTAGGACTGACCCACAAATGAGTCAAGAATGAACAATGTTATGCGCTCATTTCATAATTTTATTTACATCAGTGTGTCCCAGTTTTAAATTTTGAAAATCTGGTCACCCTAGACTAGCCTTCGTGAAGTTTGTAACTAACTGGATATCATTTTCTTAAATTACAAGCTTTGCCTTCAAAATATGAGGACAAATGTCTGGAACAGCTGAAATGTGACACTTTAATGATCTGGATTCTGTCCAAAAATCTAACTCCCTCGCACATTTTACTGTTCTTGTGAGTATCTGCTGCAGGTTTTAACAATAAAACCTAAATTATGTGCCAATATGACACCCACACCCACATGAAATCAGTACTTAAGAACACAGTGTGCATTGGCTTCATTTAGAGAAATAAAAATAAAGAATTTCTGATTGCCAAGTAGTTTATTTCTGCTCAGTCAATGTAAAAATTAAAAGGCCATGGCATAGCTTGGACAGCCTATGTGTTTCAATATACTTCTACTTCAATTAAATGTGAAAAATAACAGAAATAAGGCAAGGACCATGTGTGATTTCCCCAATTTAGAAACCAAGCAGGCAAAATCAGCCCTTCTTTTCAACGTCTGACAAAATAACCAAACTTTACAAACAGAATCTTAGCATTACAACAAATATTTACAATTCCTTTTTCATAACAAATTTGTTTTAACAAATTAAATTTGCTTTAATCACACTAAAGCACTGTCAGAGCTACAGTTATATACCATACATTCACTACCTAAATGTGAATCTACATACCAACGAGAAATTTGACATAAATATCTTTAGAGTCACCATCCATTGTTTCAGTGCCCCCATTTATGTTATGGACACAATAACAGCAAAATGTATAGTTAATATGATTTCACCAGCCAGAGTAGTCCTGCCCATCATGAAACCAGAATGTGCCCCTTTTTGGTTCGCAATGCGGGTTTACCCACTGCTACTGTTAGCTCTAACCGAACTAGATGACATAATAAGTAAAATATGAACTTAAGTGTAGTAGTGTCTACGGAACAAGATTTCTGAAAACTAAAAGACAAACTTTTTACCATGTTTTTCTAGAAATATTTGTTATTATTATTTTCATCTATGGAACTACAAGTATTCTGCAAATCCTAAGCAATATGTGACCTTAGAACAAGGATGCCATTCTTGCAGGCAATGACTTATTCATTCATAAAATAAAGCATCTAACTTGATATGTTAAACAGGTTTGGTTCAGCCTATACATGAAAACCCTGTGCAATACTTGAGCTAGAAGCAAGAAAGCTTCAACACTGTTTATACCGTGTCTTAACCAAAAAGACAAAAATAATGTAATTTATAAGAATACATGAGGATTAAAATCAGGCAAATGTCTCATAACTTGTGTTCATTCCCCTTTATGAAGTAAAGAGGTCATCTTCAAGGTCACTTAACAAGGAGCATGTCTAAAATGGCCCCTAGTATTGATAATCATTTGTACACATGCAGGCCATCTGTGATTATCATATTCTTATTAAACATTCATAAGCAAATAAACTGCAAATTAGTACAAAATGTTGAATCAACTCAGGATGTCTTCATAAAAGCCAAACAGAAATACAGAAAAAATGAGAATGCACAAGGACCTTTGCTCAGAATTTAAGCAGAGAAGAGTCCATAGTTTTTTTTTCAGTCCTGCGGCTGGGGTGGAATAGATTTGACATGTATAACGGCAGGTGTGGAAGGAGGAGGTCGTACAGTGCTTATTTGACCAGCCTTTTTGCTACATCAGCGTAGGCTATTTCAATCTCTTTGTCACTCGGGCACGTATTAGTAAACTCTTCGCGCGTGTAGGCATTGTTCAGATACTTCCAGATGGCTGTCATCTCTTTGGGGATATCAAAGCCTCTGTACTTTTTTGCCACCACCTGAAGAACAGAAATATTTTAGATTTTTTTAAAAAAATAAATAGAACACAAATATAATCAGCCTTTTTTCCAAACTAACCTTTACTATATGCAACTTAGGCAATAGGTTACAGTCAGCCAATGTCATTTCATCTCCATCCAAAAACTTCCGATCAGAAACCTTGACATCCTCAATGCTGTTGTGGTCAATCTCATCCGGTAGAGGGCAGCGGAGATACTCATCCAGTTTCTGCAGCGTCTTCAGCAGGCCGCGTTCCAGTGCTGCAAAGAAAAAATGTTCAAATATTTAGAAAACCTCTACAAATAGTGCTTAAGTGAGAAGCAGTTATAGGGTATTAGCGGAGGTAATACAAAACAACCACAAGAGGGCAGCAATTCTCCAAAAGTTACCCTATGAAAAACTCATGACTTTACAGTCAGTATTGGTAGTACATAGATCCCATTACAGTTTACTGATATTGTAAAAAAAAATAGCCATAACTGTTGCATTACAAGAAAGTCTAATAATAAATATTCTCATTTAATTTACTATGTCTTCAGTGTTTAAATGGCAGGAAAGTTGCATTTCTCTATCTCAAGTGCAACTTTAAAGACACTTTAAATTGAACTATACAACTAAACTATTTGTATTGACTTCATACAGAGAAACCTCACTGAAGCATATGTATGAATGTGTTTGTGATATGAAGACAGCAGCCAAACAAAAAGAACAACAAAGACAGCTATCCATGTCACCTAGCAACCACAATACTTTGCCTGCACAACACACACGCCTGAATCAATGAATGCTCCAGTGTTCAACAAAGACAAACTCACCTTCATTTGCATCTGGCTTTGAGTTCTTGATAAAGGCAGAGAATTTTGCAAATATGTCCATACCAGCTGTGTTTGACTCAGGGTGCCTTGCCCCTAATTTGATATATCTAAAACACAAACAAGAGATTAAATTATAAAATAATGAGGAAATCACATATCAAATCAACCTGTGATAAAACTGGACATGGTAGACTATTAAGAGATCACTTACTTGGGAGGGCACAGCACTTCCTCAAGGAACTCTTCGATTTTATTGACATCTGTTTTGACTTCTCCGTTGAAGGTGATGAAAGGTGGATGTGTACCGGGGGCAAGGTTCTGAAGATCTGCAGGTTTCCTGAACAAAAAGTGGAGACACTTTAAATTTAGAAGTTGCATATGAGACAGCAATGACAAACCATTTATAAATCAATAAAAATCAATAAACTAGCTATATTTATTTGTGTAAACATACTGAACATATTCATGGGCCCTTTACTATCAACCAAAGCATTAAGCTCTTAAACGCTGTCAGTGTTTCCTCTCTGCAGCCTTCACACAACACATTTCGCTCCAGATGTCTCTGGGCAGCAGTTGACACAAACAGAAATGAGCATGTGTTGAAAGAGAAGTGTGAACAAACAATGAATCCTTTTCAAAAGCGTAACCAAAGCATCAGAATCTAATGGGGAAAATAAAAGTCCACCAGAACAATCTCACAAACTCACAAAGGGAAACTAACTTAAATAATAGGTCTTCTAAAAGAAAATGACAGTCTCTAACTGAGATAAATTAAATATAAATAAACAAGTCCTATAAACAGAAAGTTGGGTTAAATACATGGAAGAATCCTGCTTTACTTATGATGCTACTGTAAAACACAATTTCCAAAACAAATATTTTATGCAGACATTTCCATTGCAGCTCTAATTTATTTCTACAGGACTGTAAACACTTCTGAGTAAGTGGACATCCTCCACTGCCTTTTACAGGCTCAGCATTTGTGCTCACTGTGGTTCTCAATATCCAGGCAATTTCACTTAACAGCAAAACAGCCTTTCACAGACATTTCCATAGATCCACAGGGAAGGAATCAAGTCAACTGCCTTTAACTCTTTATTCACTTCAGTGGCACAATGTCACTAAACTTGTACAAAATGAGAACTATATACCCTGTATACATAAGTCATACCTGACTGTGATAAAATTTAAAACCTCCAGATCTTCATTCTCTATTATTGAATACATTGAACAAAGTTATATGGCTGACCAGGCTAAACTGGTCATGGGAAAACTAAATATTATGATCATTTGGAAAGCACCTTTCCGCAGCAGTCTTATTATAGATGCAAAGGCCTGTGCAGGACACCCTGAATTACAAGAGCCTAACAGCAAGTAATAACGTAACAAACAACTAAAATGATGAGCTCACCTTTTGAGGTCAACAGTGGTGACATTAAAGACGACTCCTTTGAGCCACAAGATCATAAAAAGTCGCTGTGAGAAAGGACAGTTTCCAATGCTCTCTCCATCACTTCCAGCCTGAAACACAAAGACAATGGGTTAATGGAAGCATGCACCAAACCTCTTTTACTGCCAAACATAAAACTTGCTACTAGTCTATATAACTATGAAGAATCACGCTTTCTGACGAACATAAAAATGGAAGAAATGCCTAAAGCACATGTTTAAACAGTTAAGTAGCCCCTCTCTATGACTGGTGTAAACAAAGTGCTCCTGTTGTCCTCTGTATAACACAGTGGGATGGTTCTGTTTGATGTTATTGTACAGTGACTGTCCTGTCACTGCTCAGGCTCCACAGTTTCTCTAGATCTGAAAAGCAGGGATTAGATCACTGTCCTGGGTGAACAATAAAGGACTCATTTTCCCTGAACATTATTCTATTTCAAAGTAAAGCTCAGACCAGTCGGAGGCAGCGTGTTATGCTGAAATGTTTCTAAACAGCATTAGCACCTGTATGTGGGGACACATCATTGGCCATTATTTTGCCCACAGCGGTACACCTACTGAGACCCATTCACGTCTGGATCAAGGCTGGCAGCAACACGGCAACTGTTCCCATGGCAATGGGACACATGTTATACAAAGCAGAGGACATAGTGTTAGGAGATTACCAATTCACAGGTGGTCTGACAAATACAAAATGTGTTATACAAAATGGTCCAAAATATTTGACAGAACACTTTTGTTTATTTGAAATCTGAACTAACAGTTACACCAGGCAGGCTCCTAGCCCAGACTCTAACAGCACTAGACAACTCTGCCAAAGTAATGGAGATCTGCTTCACAGAGTGGAGAGGGAGCCATTACAGGAAATGAGGAAGAGATCAGGTCTGACCAAAGACTACAGCAGTAATAGATGCATCTTAAGAGTAGAGACACTATCCTGTGAGGGCTATGTCCTTTTGGCACACTGCACGTTTCTTCTCCTCCTCACTTTTATTCCCCTCTCCTTACCCTGGGCCCCTCTGCCTCCACAGAGCGGGGAGGGGGGCTGGGCGTTTGGGAGGAGGGAGAAACTATTCCAGAAATGTCCTGTTACTCCCAACAACTGCTTTGTTTAGTTTATGTCACAATTATAGTTCTGGCTATATACAATAATATCACTAAAGATAGGATGTCCTGTTTCTCAGTGATTTATTTCATAATGATGATAAGTTACAATATCAGTAAAATATGAAAGTCATTTTGCCTAAAAAATATGATATATAGAACAATAAAAAACAAAACTCCAAACTTCTACATATTTTTAGAAACTTATTGGGCAGTAGCCCTCACACTTTGGGGCTACTTTTGTCATGTGTGACTCAAGAAGGTGCTCCTTCCTAAAGTTACATTTTCCAGCTATGCTAACGGTTGAAATAGTGAGTGTGACCAAAGCAGGCAATGACTACAGCTAACAGACTTGAGCTTTGTTTGGATGGTGAGTGAGTCAACAGATGCAGAGCACACACAGCTGCCCAAGTGGATGGTATGAGTCAGCCTCCAGTCGGATGTTATCGAGCAGAGTGAGTCCTGGACAACGAGAGCCAGTACAATCAGACCCCAGACTAGAGACACTACAGAGAAACACAATGAGGTCATAGCTTTATCACTTCCCATAGCACTTCCTCACTTACATCGACAGACACATGACTGGGCCCAAACAAACAAGTCTTCTGAACAAAGTTTGAATTGCCAAAGATTAAACGCTGAAGTTTGTGTCAAATAACATTTTATAATTAAGTACGCTATTCTGTGTGTTTTTAAATGCATGTAGATTCTATGTCATTACTAAAGAAAATGCCAGGTAATCAATCACAATACTGATGCCACTACATAGTTTCACTTGTTTTTTTAGACAATACTATAATGTCTTTAGGGTTACAACAGTTTGAGTTTTAGATTAGCATTTGAGTTTTGATTGTTCTGATAATCTTCACACATATGCTGTTTTGGAGACCACAAAACCAAATGTTTTCAAGCATTTTCTGATGACCCTTCTCATCCTATAGCCTACATATACATATAGAACATTTTATTACAACTTTGCTATGGTTAACATTCAGGGCATTTTCTGTGCATGCCAGTATAAACCGGTTACAAGTTAAAACTCAAGGACTACAGCACTACACTTTCATGCCTTTATGACAAGCTCTTAAGATACCTCCTTTTGAAGTCCAGCACACTAACATTTTATGGAGATGTAAAATGTTTATCAGCATTCTCACCAAATCTACAAGGTGTGTACAAAAGCAACAGTATTACAGTGCTGTATTCTATTATTCAAAACAATGGATTTTATTCAGGCTACACGCCCCCAGTCTCTGCTCACAGCCTAATTATAGTAACTCCATGGCCCAAGTTTCCCCTCCCTGACACACTTCATTTTCTAAATTGGGTGGGGAGCTACACTTTGACCGAATAAGGAGAGGATGGTGTAAGGAACAGTAAAATCTCCCTCCTCCTGCTCCAGCAGCATGCCGCATGAACATCAGTTTGAGACACTGTCACCATGGCAATGGCATGGTCATGGCAACCTAACGCAAGCCGGGGTCACGAGAAAATTAGGACAGATGATCTCACCTTAGGGTTGTCAAAAGTATTGAAACTAGATAATCATTGAGCAAGAATCAATACAAAAAAAGGCAAGATTTGACCATTCATGAATAGTTTTAACATATAGTAACAAGTATGGTTCCATAAAGTTGAAAATGGCATTCTATTTAAAAGTGTTTTATTGACTGGGGCTGTATTGAGTATCTTCCTGCTTAGATATTTCACTTTAGAAAACACCACAGCCAATCAATAAATGTATGCTGTAGACATGTTATATTACAAGGTCACATCGCAACTTTGTGTTGGTCTATGTGTTTAATATTAGTTAGTTTTGGTAGATTTGTAGATTTTGTACTGAAGCGTGATAATGGACCAATTATATATATATCCATTCCATTTCAAGTTTGTGGATTTTTTTCTTTTGCCATTTATTAGAAAATTATTTGTAAAATTTATACAAAAATCTGTCTTCTGTCCCACATCTGTAATGCTATTTTTTTTAGAAGCGACATCGAGTTGTTGAATGGGAATCAAGGATTGAAACCTTATGAGTCAGGCTGACATCACTAGTGGAAAGTCTCAGAGACAGACCTTCTGTGCTGGAGCGTCACCAAAGCAACAAAGATACACACGTCCTTGTGAAAACTAAAGGTCTAAACACCATTATGAGCTCCATAGCCTTTGCCCTGCGTCAGATCGTCTCCACTGTAGAAGTAGTACTCTCATCCCAGACAGTACAAACTCATGCCAACTCAACCACCCACTTATTTCAACTCATTACATCAGCCGGTCTGTTTCTGTTGCTTTGTTTTATCACAGGAATCAGGAACCATTTACACTCATGTACACTCTACATGCCTGTGACTTGATAAGGGATTATTGACCTTTATCTCATCAAGAAAGTCCCACTAAAATTAAAATCTAATTCAGTGGAGTTAATATGACCACACCTCAACCTCCCCTTCCTCCTCACCAGCGAACCACAGCTCAGCTCAACCACACCTTCAGTTACCCAGAAACCGTATTTATACAGACCTATCCCGACAACACCGCTTGTCTCCGCTCTCTCGACCCCCTCCCTCCCACTCCTTGCCTCTTATTCATCCTTCAACCTGAAGACATCATCTACAAAGGGGGGTTCCTGAATTGGCTGGGCTGACCACCTGAGACAGAGCCCCCATCCAGAGTCTCCTCTCAGTCATCAGATCAATCCACTGTCAATATCTTTAATCGTATTCCATTGTTTTGATGTGGTCCTTGCTAGTTGAGTTATCCTCCAAAGAATGATGCACTGGACCATCCTGCGTCTTGAAAGTAGTCCATGGATAAGGTTTAGTCTCTGTCATAATTAAAGTGCTTTAGCTCTTTTAGAATGAACCTGAGGTTAATGAAAGGCCACAACAAATGCAGAGCTAGTAAAACCCAAAGCTGTGAAAACAACCTGAAGTGTCTGAACCATTTGTGTAGTCTTCTTTGGGCACACATTTGATGGAGCAACTTCATAATAACCCTTGGGGACTGAATTGCTGTATGGTCTAAGGGCTGGCATGGGCACATGTTTAAATTTTACAATAAAGCAAACAAAGTAAGTTTTCATTATGTTTTGGTGCTGAAAGCCCTTTTAATGCATGTTTGCAATGACTAGGAATGTGATACTTAAAGTTAAGCACACATAATCATACTGCGTTTTGGTTTGGTAATTAAGGGATGAATATAATGGTTATGAAACAAAAGATACTTGCCAGAGTGTTTTAAGCAAGGTCCTTGTGTTAGCTCTAGAACAAAGAATAAAGAAGCAAATTCCTTCTTGCTTAATGTTTGTTGGTCAAGCATTTTTCTGTAAATGTTACAGTGCATAAAAAGAAATTAGATACTGTTTTAGCACTCATCTTGTTATGGCCTTGTTTTCACTAGAGCAAAAACAGCAAACTGCAACAACAGCAAAGCAGAGTACAAGTGCTATTAATCTTTGTCCCCAAACTCATGATGCTGACTACTAGCTGAACTGCTCTATTGATTCTACTATAAAAAAGAGACCTTGACTGTGACCACCTAGAATAGAGTAGACCCCAGGGGAAAAAATGTTTATTTCAAAATGTAAAACAGCCTGGAAAATATTTTAATCAAGAATGAGTTGACTTATACATACAGCAGGGCAATCACTGAGATTAGATGACTGTTTTCATAAAACTGGGGCATCACAAGGCACAAGTCTGATTGTCACATGTAACAGTTGATAACAATGGACTTAATGTACAGTCCACAGAAAGCCCTTTCCAATGACAAAATCTCCAAAAGCAGCAGGGAATTTTAGTGTAAGCAATAATGAGCATAATAATGTATTAAGATCAGAGTTTTTGAATGGGCAAATCCAGAACATATGCTTAATGATGAAACATGAAAGAAAGGTCGTTCTATTGAGTTTCCTGGCGCTGTTAAGCTACTGGCGAGCATATGAAGTCTGGAGGCAGCAGAAGGCTTCACAAGCAGACTGCGACCTTGGCAAGCACAAGAACTGATAAAGTCCACCCTTTTTTGGAAACTCATCTACATTCTCTTTGGTTCATGGAGGAACTGTACACAGGAAATTGTGCATAAACAAGTCATATGCAGCATTACTTGAGGCATTAATGAGATAAATATACATTACTGCTAATGCATTAATCACATAACAAGGCACACTAGTATTGACTAAATATAGTTACAGTGCTTAACATTACTTAATATGCTGCAATATGATGAGGTCAAAGGTTTCCCCACTTACAATACTATTATGGCAGCTTCATTTGCAACTGACAGCAGTAAATGTGAAGGATGACCAATGTTACACACCCACAGAGCCAGCCCAGCAATAAAGTGTTCCTATAGCAATATGACAATGTTGACATAAACACAAAAGGTGCAATAAATACAATACGAGCTAGGTCAGCAGAAGATATGGGACACCACCTCACATGAGCTTTCAACATTTGTGCAGTGGTCTTTTAGTCATTTTGTTGAAGTGTCTGCTTTGAATGTAGCAGTGTCCTAACAGATCTGACATGGCGCTGTGTAAAGGGAACACACAGTTTGTTATCAGCTGTTCCCAGAGGCCTGGCTCACAGCAGTGTGCCTATGGCAACCTGCATGCCTTCCATTGTCTGCTCCACTGTGTTTAATGCACACTAGCACCAACAAGGCCATCAATAATGGATGTGCATGTGTCACAAACTGCTACAAGTGTCATAAGAGACTGACAGAGCAGGAGGCAATAGGCTGCTGTGTCATTTTTCCAAGCACAAGTAGAAACCTTCTGTAACTAGCTCACTGTTAGGGAGGGGTGGGAAGGAAAGAAAATGCCAGATCAGGAGTAAACTTTCAAGGGCCAAAATAATGTAACCCTACCATAGGAAATGAAATGGTTTAGCTTTTACTTGTCTATTACTTGTGAAAATGGTTACTATTAAAACTTTACAATCATGGAGGACAAAAAAGAAAAAACAAATAAATAAACCAATAGCAGAAAAAAAAAGTACACTGAAAACTGTTCAGCTGTGTTATGCTGGGTCATTTCTGCCTTGGTGCAATACAATACATTCAGTGCTCTCTCAATTCAAGACCCCCAGACTCCTCCCTCTGCCCTGTCCCCCGTGTTCCAGCCTCATACTCCCCCTTTTTCTTCCAGTTGGTGCTTTCCCGCCTTGCAACAGGCAAAAGAAAAGGAAAACAGCCATTCACAACCCTCCACCCTCAGCCATCACCAGCAGCCTCCCACTGCAGACATTTCCATGCTGTTGTAATGAATGTAGTGGCAGTACAGTACAATTGGAGAGGCCTACAGCAATTAAAACGTTTAGACTATATTAAGGCAAAGAAACACACAGAGAAGGCGCGTAATGTGTTCTTATATTGAACAACCTCTTGCTAATATACAAACTCATCCATAAATATAACATATCAACATAACAGTGTTTTAAAATAGTTTCCAGATTAAACACAAGAGGTTTCTTTTGTCCCCTTCAAGCGCCCATCCCTCAGCCCAAGCATGGTATGGTATGCTCTCCCCATGCTTTCTCCTCAGGGTGGAGGCGAGGCAAAGGGGTAATGCTGCATCCACCCAGCCCCACATCGCACAAATTAATTAATTGGCAACTTCGTGATCATTTGAACGGCTTATAAAACTAATTTTTTACTTTTCTAAGCGACGACCGTCTTATCTTGTGTAGCCTTTTTGGATATTTCCCTCGGAGTGCCAAACCACGCGGACTGGACACTACAGCTAGCTTTGTCATTTCTGCTAGACCAAAATACGAAAAAAATAAAATAAAAAATCTTGTAAAATTAATATTCCCACAACACTTAATGTCACCCAATGAAGAAGTATACAGTTTTGCTTAAAAATCTAACTTATTCAATATGCGATTAGCGATGTCGTCTTACCTTCACAAATAGCTCAATTACGGGTTCACTGTCCCCTTTTACTCCGTTTTGAGGCACAGAAAGCGACATTATTGCTGTTGCGTACAGTTCTCCCAACTACGATGACTTCTTCTTGCTACCACGCCCGCTAGTTTTAGTCCTTTTTTCAGCCAACCCTATTTTCCGCAACGAAGTCCAGTCGGCGCTCTTCTCCCACTTGGGCTGCTCCGCTCTGTGGCACAGCGCGCACAATGACCAGGCGACAGTCCCGTAAACAACACCACGGCTGCGTTAACTTCTCCCTTGACTTTATCTACAAAGACATAGCAGAGGAGGAGGCTCTGGGCTGCGGGATGAGCGGTGATGAGGAGGACGGGACCAAGAAACAACGGGAATATCTGCGATGTGATGTCATCAGCAGCAAAGCAACACGAAAATGTGGGAGGAGGATGTGAAAGGCCAGAAACCTCCTTCGAAAAGATGCGCACGTTGTCGGAGTACTTTCAATTTCAGTTTTTAAGCATTATACCATGTAATTCTAACGTTTCTTAACAAAATAACTTAAATATTTTGTTGTAACCAATTGGACAAAAGTTTCTCCCTAGTAAACCGCACTGTCCCAATGTACTTCGATGAACTCTGCGATTATATTACATAAGCATTATCAGACACTGAAAACAATTTCTATAAAACCTTTTAATTCAGAAAGGATGACAAGAGCCAAGTACTTAACAAAAATTTGAGCAGTCTCACAGAGCCATGTGTACATCTCAAATGATTACAATAAAAACAAAACAAAAAAAGAAAAAATAACATTCCATCTCTGCATGTAATTGAACGGGACTACTTCCATATCAGCAGGCTAAACAATGTCAAACATCTCTGAACACCATATGAAAATGCATTCTGTACTATTGAGAGCTGGGTATAGCAAAAAGTTCATGCACATTTGAAACCATGTATGTAATCGGATTTTGTAGCAAATTGTGAAAACCACCAACTCAAACCAATATTCTGCATAACTGCTTAAAAACATTTAACTTAGGATCATTAACAAATGTAATCAACTTAATAAGGAAAACTATTTAGCCTGTAACTAAACCGTAATAGGGAAAAAAAAAAAAAATCCTCAAAATCTGTACATTCTAAACATGAGTTTAAGGACAAATCACACAAGGTGGGTCACAACTGTATTTTCAGGACATTTGGGATGGAGACAACTGGGCTTTTCTCATTGACCTTAGCGCCTTCTCCCTCAAATGTTTCTCCAAGTCATCCAGGCTATCCTCTACTTCACTCTCTGATTCCTGAAAAACAAAAATCATAAGAGGTTAATATACTATGCAATGTGAAATTTGTTCCTACAAGTATAACATTAACCTTTCGTGAATCGACATCCTCCTCTGCACCTTGATTCTCTTGTCCATCTGCAGCAGCTGCCGCTGCCTTCTCCTTCTTATGCTTCTTATGTTTCTTGTGTTTCTTGTCTTTTTTATGTTTCTTCTCCTTCTTCTTTTTCTTCTTCTTTCCAGCAACTTCTACATCTGAATTCTGTAAATGTAATTAACAAAAAAAATAAAATATTATCCAGGACAAAATAAATTTTAACCAAAACACCCCATTTACCTTGCTTGGGGACTGACTGGCAGAACCACTGCTGGCCTTCTTAGCTGGTGGCGGAGAAGCACTTGCAGAGCGTGAAGGAGATGGGGAAGCAGACATGAGTGCAGGTCGTTTTGGAGCACTTGGTGGAGGAGAAACAGAGCGAGATCTTGAGGAAACTCTTCTAACAGGCTGTGGGCTCATGGAAGCTCTGTTGGGATAAAAAACATCTTGTAAAAAAGGTTTAAATTGCACTAGATTTGCTAAATGAAAGCTCTCATACCTCTGACCACTACGTGGTTCTGGGGTTCGGGAGACTCTTCGAATTGCCTTATTATTTGGAGACCTCTGTTTTCGATAGCTGGATGGAGAGGTTTCAAAACGGCCCCGAGGACTGGCAGAACCCCTAAGATTTCGGCCACGATTAGCTGGAGATGGAGACGGACGGCTATCCCTTTTTGATCGAGTAGACAGGTGTGCTGGGCTCCTTCTGTGTCTAGGTGGAGATGTGGAGGAGGGAGGGGTACGACGTCTTTGAGCTGGAGAGCCCCTCCGCTTGGGTGACCTTGAAGGTCTGCGCTTGGCCCCCGGAGAAAGGCGTCTTGGAGAATTGGACAATTTTCTTTTTTGAGGCGGCAAAGGTGATGGGCTATAGCGACGCTGAATAGGAGGAGAGTAACGTCTAGGAGAAGGAGATCGTCTTCTGGGAGGCGGAGAAGGTGACCTAGAAAACAAATTAATGTAAAATTTACAAAAACATTTATGTTATAATAATGACTCTGCAAAAAAACAAAATTAGGACTGTATATACCTTCGTCTAGGAGACTGAGACCTTCTGCGTCTGGGTGGAGAAGGGGTGCGGCGCCGACGTCCAGCGGGGGATAAAGAACGCCTTTTTCTATGAAAAATAAAAACATTCTATTTTTCTCAATATTGAAGAACAAAATTAACAGCAAAATCACTGTTATAGAGTTTTCAGACCTTGGTGAGGGATCGCGATGCCGCCTTCGTGGAGATGGTGTATGGCTTCGTCTTTTTCTGACATCTCCATTTCTAGCACCAGGTCTAGCTGTCGGCCTCTTTGGACTCTCATCTTCAGATGATGATGACCCTGTATCTAAAGTGCAACATCATAAATGCACAAAGAGGAGGTTTATGGCAGAATATAATTCTAAACAAAGGCTCTTAAATTACCTGAGGATGACTGACGATTCTGTCTGCGATATTGGCGCCGCTGTTGAACTGAATCTGCGGTTGCTCCCTTGTCATTTTTATCATCTTCTAAAAATTGAAACATTAAATTATATTTAATTAATTAATTTATTACTTATTTTCCCCCAAACACAAAAAATAAAATAAACCTGATGGTGACCTGATTCAGAAGCTTCAGATTGTCTGGGCTTGGCATTATCTGAAGGAGAATCATTTCGTGCACCTGGCTTAAAACCTGAAATCAAATATGTAACAGGTTAACACAAATGCTGAGATGTACGTATGAACATAACCATGACCAAGGTGACCACATCTTACCAGAGGACCTGGGGGGAGACATAGAGCCACGGGCTCGTCTTCTCATTGGAGATGAAGATCTTTGGTCTTTGGCAGCAGGGCTCATGGATTTGCCTGTGTGATGCAACAGTTTTCGTGGTGACGAACTTAATACTCTTTTTCTCATTGCTTTTCTCTGAGAACCAGATGAACTGCTGCCAGATGACGAAGCAGATCGAGAGCGCCTCCTGTAGGATGAACCACAAGTGACTGCTTGTACAGAGAACTTTATTTTTTAGAAAATAAAAAAGATAAACCAACCTTCGAACAGGAGACCGCCTATGTCTGTGTCTAGAGCTGGTGGGCCCACGTCTGGGTGGGCTTCTTCGACGGGGAGAAAGTCTTCTTCTGGGGCTCTGCCTTCTACGAGGAGAAAAAGACCTGCAATGGAATGATAACATTTTGTAATGAGAGAAGGTTTCAGAGGCAGTCATCTGGACACATTTTTTTTGCAGTCAATACGTTTCAGCTCCAATCTAGAAGCCATGACTGATCAAAATGGCACAAGACAGATTTTTGGGGACCAAGGAAGGACCAGGAAGGTCATGAGAGACTTATTTATAAAAAATTAAGTGTATTGAACATACCTGGAACGGGATCTGCGTCTCCGGGAACGAGAATGAGAGCGGGAGCGGTGGTGCGGTCTGTCCCTCCTTCCATCCTTCTCTCTTTCACGAGACTTTGGTCGTTCTTCTTTCTTTTGAGTCTTCTCTGGAGATGGTTCCCTAGCATCAGTCACAGAGTCTGCTTTCACAACCTCTGTAGTTGTGTCACTATGACAGATGTAACAAAACATTATTGTACTTGCACTTTTTGGATAGAAGTTTGTCATACTTTAATTTCACTCTATTTTTCTAACCTTGTGGAAGATGCTTCTTGAACAACAGGCTCTGGCAGACCTCCAGATGTGTCTGGCTCTGGGTCCAGTGCTTTAGTGGACATGGATGGGGGAGGAGAGACAGCAGGTGCAGGACTGTGTCTGGGTCTCGGAGAGCGCGACGGGCTGCGCTTCCTGTCCCGCTTCACTGGAGATCTTCGTCGAGGTGAGGGGGATCTTGTTTTTCTCCTAACAAAGAGCAATAACAATAGGAATAATGGATCCGTTTAAAAGAAATAACATTCATAATAAACTGTTTTAATCATTTACCTCCTTGGGCTCCTTGACTGCGCCCTGTCTTTTTCTTTTCTCTCTTCATCTCCCTTCTTTAGAGAAGCAAGCTTCTCCTGTTCCAGCTACAGAAGAAATAACATTTAAAAAAAGAAGATATTTTACGAATTCAAGATAAAATACATACAGTTCTTTTGTTTTGTTTTACCTGTCTCAGTCTAATTTCTTCTTTCTTTTGTTCTAGAAAAGCAGAAGGGATTCCAGCTATGTTTTCCTGGGCACTAAGCAGCAGGGGCCATAAGTCCTTCATAAACTCTCGTGCATTCTTCCCATTCAGGAACCCTGTTAGGTTGATCTGCATCATTTTGGCGTCAGGGTGCTGTAACATATAGATGGAGGACAGAAAAGACAGTACACTCATTAAAGTCACTGGAATAAAATGCTGAAAGGGTAGAGCCCATTATAGTGGACTGCCTACCCAGCCCTGACTAAATATTCAATAAATAATGTCTGCATGTGTAGCAATATTTACAGCCATAATTACAGACATGTCTCTTCCCCACCCTTAATCCAAACAAAATAAAAGATGTGAAAAATATTGCATTGATCACAAGCTCTATGAAATCTATGTACGCTACCTGTAGGGAGACATTTTATCTAGAAACAAAATAGCATGCAGTTACAAGTTTGATTACATTTGAATAAGTATTCTACCAGTGTTTTGGTACTAATGACAATCCCGAAATTAACCCTTAATTCTAATCAATTGCCCACCCATTTTACCCGTCTCCCCACAGCCTACACTGTAGCAGTTAAACAAATAGCCACAATACAGAGTGCATTAAAACCCAACACTGCAAGAACAGATCCGGTGTCTTCAGTGAGTCCCGTGGGATCAGCGGGCATGGAGCTCCCTTGGCTTGCTTCCGCCTCCCTATCGCTTGAGACTCAACCACCATGAGCTTATTGTTATATCATTTATCTAAATTGCAAGAGACGAACAAGCAATAATGAGTAAACAGTTACACAAGATGTTATATTCAACAACTAAAAAGAAAACCTTCTATTTCATGTGCACTACAATATAAAAGTAACATTAACTCAGTTTCAACGCTGATGTTACTGGTATAAGAAACACACAAATAAAAGTAGATATAATATAATACAGTATACTTAAAAATCTTTACTTGCCAGTGAGTGTAGTTGGGGAAATCTAAAATTTTAAATGTGCAACTGCCAGTGGGCACATTTCAAAGGAAAACATGTTACAAAATGCAAAAGTAACAAAACCTAAGGGTATGAAACACGGACACTCTACTCCACAGAATCAAGTTTTCAGTAACTAACCTATTCTTTATTGGATTAAATGTTTATTTAAAACCAAGCTGAATACAACACTGTCATCTTAAAAATTAAGCATGTACAATAACGCACAATTGAGATAATAAATCCCTGTGCTTAGTCCATTTAAAATAGTCAGAACTAGTCCTCGGGTCAAAGATTTACATCAAAATAATGGTTTCAGCTTGGCTCTATGATGCTCTCTAATGCTCTCTTGACTTTTCTGCAGTTAGGAATTGTCAAAACTTGCTAATCTAAAAAGGCTTTGCTTGATGCAATGAAACTGTAGGGAATATGAACACATCATTCATGGCCTGTCTTTGACTGACATGGTACTGGTAATCCCTATACACAACTCACCTCAAAACCACAAACTGCATCATGAAGGGAGAGTTGGGCTCAGAGACTTTGGGCTCAGGAGAGAGCTAATTAGGTGTTGGTGCTATACTTCTGAAGCAAGGAATAACATCCATATTGGTTCAGGCCTTTTAAATCATAAATCACATCATCATTAGAAGACTGCTGCATAAAGGCACTTTGTATGACATTAAACAGGTCTACGTAAGTAATTAGTTTTACCCACTGTTAATTTAGTCTCCAAATTTAATCTGAGTAGGATGTGCATTATCTGTATAGCCAACTTTAATTGACTAACAATGCTTTCTACAACAGAACTTTTCAAAACAAACAAAAATGAAACTTGACATTACCTTCTCCTCAAGTTGATTAAATATAAACTCAATGACGACATCATCTTCAAAGCCCAGAATTTCAGTCACTTGATGGGTAATCCAAGGTTTGATGACTTCTAGGTTGACTTTGGTCATGTCCACCTTTTGAGGAAAATAATAGTTACTTACTAAATAACTTGCATGTCTGTCATGAACAGAAGAGAGAACATAACCCCTGTACCTTCTTGTCGAGACATTCTGCAAATTTCAGTTGCTTCAGGAGCTTCTTGTGCTTGTTGCTGAAACGATTATCTTGCTCAGCACTTGTGCCCTGAAAGGAAATTCCACAAATGTCAAAAATCATAATCACATTTATATGTCTCATAACTTAAAATTATTATTATTTCAAATAGTTTAAATTAACATAGAGAAAGTAAAGACATGATATAATTTAACAGTGATGTTTTGCTTTAATATCTATGTAGAATTGTTAAGTGACTTTGCTCCAAGTTTATTATTTGCATTTTTGATATCTGTTGTTGTTAAAATTGGTTTAATGTAAATAGATTCTTTATTCTATTTTGTAGCTTTTGTAGCTAGTAGCTAAATCTGGCATAGAGCATCCTTTCTCCCTGAAATTAATATTTTCTGTGCACTGCCCTTGTTTCAAATAAATAAAATAATATATTTGTTTGCACTGAACAGAGCAACACCATGGCGGATCTGAATACACACTGAGGCCTAACAAGAAATGTACACCGAGCATTCACATTAACAAAGTTGCTGCAGAGGATATAAACATCATGTGTCTGAAACTCCTGTTATGTTCCCTTTGCTAGCGGAAAGTTGCGATTTGTGCAACTGTAGTTTAGTTAAAGATAGATCTTCTAAGAAATAATGATCGATCGTGACTCGCTCATGGAGGCAGCAGCGAAGCACCGCCCCGGCGCCATCTTTAGTTGAGCTAACACGTTAGCAATGCTGTGCTAATCTGACTCGCCTGTTCACTAAAATATATTCCTATTTAATAAACCAAACAACATTTGACAAGACGGCAACACAGACAAAACTATTATAGTCTAGAATGTGCAAAACGTGAGACTCCAAATGAAGATACAAAATGTAGCACGCAGCGTTAGCAGCATGCTACATCCTCATTAGATATGGAGTCCAAAAGGCCTGCACTAAAATCTCAAGCAAGTTTAAAATCAACACAGTACGGAAACAAGAACAGCACAAAGTCTAACACTGCTGAAAATGTAAAAATCTTACGCGGAAAAACCCCGCGTCCATAGTGGTGAAGTGTTGATATGAGACGGGCTGAGAGACGTGTGGCTCCGGCCGAGAGAACGAGGCTGGACAGTGCGCCCTCTACAGGGAGCAACATGTACTGCGCGGATTTAATGATAGAATCGCAGCCAATTTGGAGCCTACTGCAGGATGGAGGCTATGGCTAAAAAAAATTAACCCACCATATGCCATTCTCTAATTTTGTTTGCTTCTCCTATTTTCTTCTCCGATGGGCTTCATCGTTACAACTAGACAATAAAGGAGTCAAAGGTGATAGATGAGTTTAATCAAGCTGGTGAAGAAGACAGTATATGTTCACATTGAAAAATTAGGTATTTATTGTCAGACTAATTACATTACTATAACAATCACAACACAACAGGCTCCGCATCAGATGAATAGATAAATAATAAATACATAGGTTTATTAGTAACCCATGGTTTTGTTGGAAATTAACACTACACACAACCCAGTACCTGGATCTGTTTATAATAATAGTGAATACAAATGATATAAAATCACACTAGCAGCAAAATATGAAAGAATAGGCTTTGTGAATGGATCTAAATGTAAAATGTTACTTATAATAGTAATTGCTAATTATTTTGTAGATTATGTTGTAAAGACTGGTCTATGATATTATCATATTATTTAAGAGGGGGAAAAAATCTTACAATGAAAAATAACTTTATGTAAATAAAATATGTGATTACAATGAAATAAAAATGACAAATTAAAATATACAGTTCCCTGAAAAATCATGTTAACTGTAAAATTGCATAAAAGCAATTTTTTCAGTATTTTTTGTTTTGCAGACAAATTCTAAAATATTTTACAATGTGTGAGATGTTCCTTAAATTCTTTTACAATGAGTTTACAATTAATCCTTCATTGGTCCTTTTGTTCCGAATTGTATGTAGCATATCTGAGACAAGCTCCTCTAGTCCAAAGGCTGGTGCCCATCCCCAATCTCTCCTTGCATTTGAGTCATCAAATCTCACTGGCCAACTGTCAGCTGTAATATGGAAAATTATAATTTTGGAACAAATAAGTAATTATTGCAAAAACAAAGCAGTATTTAAGTTACATACCAATTGTCTGGCGCACAGAATCAGGGCTGTAGGTGACTTTGAGTTGAGGGAGATGCTTACGTATTTCCTGTGCTACTTCTTCTGGAGTGAAGCTCATTGCTGCAATGTTATATGTACGTAAAGAAAGCTGGCACTCAGGAGCTTGCATGAACTCCACTGTAGCTCGATGACAGTCTGAGATATGCATCATTGGAAGGCGAGTATCTGGACGAAGGTAACACTCATGGTGACCTGTACTGAGAGCGTCATGAAAGATCTGAACTGCATAATCTGGAAACAGAAAACCTATTTTTTAACTCTTGCTTAATTAATTAACAAACTATATAGGCCAAATATATAGGCCTAGACTTAAATTACCAGTTGTTCCTCCACCAGGTGGTGTGTTTACAGATATCACACCTGGATAACGCAGGCACCGAAAGTCCAAGCCATGTTTATGATGCAGATACTAAGTATAGATATAAAATTGCTTATTAATAATAATTAAGACCGAGAAAACTAATATTCTATTTGCAAAAATGCCCTACCTCTCCCATTAGTTCTCCATGCACTTTGGAGACCCCATAGATTGTTCGAGGTCTTTGGACACAAAGGTCAGGAACTGGGTCTCTGGGTGAGGAGGGACCAAAGGCTCCTATGGTACTGGGAACAAAGAGGCGAAGGCAGTTCTCAAGAGCCAAGTCCAACACATTGTGAAGGCCTGTAAGATAAGGATATATAGATGAATGAATACTAAAGATCTCACATTAAATGGTATCTATACAGACCTGTAATGTTTATTTTGCGAGCCAATGCCACGTTTGCCTCGCCTACAGCACTAAGCAGAGCGCTATAATGAACCAGCCAAGTGATTTGGTTATTTATAATCAGTTCTCTAAGATGCTTGTAGTCCAGAACATCAGCATATACAAATGGGCCTGTTATAAAAATGCAAAAAGGGCTTAAAACTGAAATGGAAGTTTAAATAGAAAATGTTAAACACTGCCTTACCGCTGCGAAATACATCAGGTGGTGGCTTCTTAATATCTGATAGAATCACATTATCTGTTCCATACTGTTTCCTTTATATAAATGAGTAGTTATTGGATATATTTAAAGGAAAAGCAAACAGTTGTTTACAATTGTTTAAATGTTTACATCTGTTACCTTAGCATCTCCGCAAGCCCCACACCCAGCTGCCCCAGACCACCTACAAGAAAAAACAAAAAAAGCTATATCAAAATTTGATTGGAATGTTCCATATTATGAGATTAAACATAGCTCATCTATCTCCATGTACACAAGCAGGCAAAGCCACCTGGCAACATTACCGATCATTTTTTTCAAGGTATTTCTATCTAATTAGCCATACTGTAGCCACAGTAACATTGTGGCTAAAATGTTACATATCCTTCTCCAGAAAAGCTAGATAGTGTGCATTTAATAAAGTTTTCACATAAAAAAATCCAACAAAATAAAACAAGACAAAGATATAACATAACATAAAAACAGTGAGGAGTTACATTCATTAAAACAACAACAACAACATACAAGCTGTACACAAACAAAAACTATATTGATGTTCAGCTGCTGCTTCCTTATTCCCATGTACCCTCCCCAGCATCTTCTCACATACAGCTTTTTAGCAATCCTCTCTTTAGACTTTCTGAATGGGTTACGAGGGTCCAGTCTCAATGTTAAAATAAGACAGGCATGTATTACCAATCCACTATGTGTCACTCATAATTTTTCAGATCAGATCCTGAACACTAACAAAGGTCTGGTCTGGTTAGTGCTTGAATAGGAGACCACTGAAGGGTAGCAAATTCTCTGTTGTAAACTGCTGTTGTGTCCTTAGGCAAGACACTTCAAAAACTTCACTTAGAATGAATCTGGTGTGTGTATGTATGTGTTGGTTGGTTGGTATACTGTTTGCTTAAATTGAAAGGACTTCTGTGTTCCAAAGCATTGTTCCTCTCAAAAAAGTGAGAGCAGCCTATTATTCTCCACACTGTCTTTCTTTAGGCCTTTTATATCCAGTTCTGTCTGAACGCTGCCTATTGTAATGACCCTGTGAAGGTCTGAAACAGCAGGGTAGTATTTGGTATTTGGTACTCTTGTCAATAACTTATCAGAATACAGACAATTTGTACATTAATAAACAAACAGCATTTAAACATTAATGCAGAAAGTTGATATTTGTTACCTGTAATCAGAACTCGGGGCTTTTCCTGAGAAGAGGGCACACTGCTGTTCTCCAGATGTCTCCAACTGCTCATTTGCCTGGAGAATCGGCTTAAATTCAACAAACTCTGGCTCCTGCTGAGCGCACATCGCCCCCAAAGTAAGTGGCCCGGGATGTTGGACACACAGGCATGCACACAGCGCTGCATCTCAATTTACAAACCCAAAGAACAAGAAAATAAATGTTGGTCAAACATATTACCACAAGACTTAGAACACTGAAACATACCTGTATTATCTCTATGCCAAACACTTTGAATCCAATCCAAGAATAGAAGTTACTTCCTACTTTCTTACAATTCCTTTTTCCTGAATAATAGATTTCCTTTGGATGTCAAAATTAGATGTATCTAAAACCTCACTGTGTATGCTCATGCATTACTAAATGAAAACATGAGTCCAATGTGTAACATAATTCCAGGTGCCATGGCTCATGGCTCATAGTTAGATTAGGCAGTACCACAGTCTCCTGCTCACAGCTCTATGTGAAAACACAGACTTGCTGCGTACAGGGATTTGTATTGTGGAGAGTGTTTAGCTGAGCTTAACAGGACTGGGAGGTGTGTCACTTAACCACCTAGTAAATTGTAAAAGAGCAAAAAAAAACAAAAAACACTGACATAACTTTATAAAATAATGACAACAATTAGCTCATTGTAAAACATTTTAATAAAAGTAAAAATTCAACTGTGTATAAAATGTGACGGACAGTAAAATACTGATTGCAGCAGTTGGCATTTTTGAAGCATATGGGGCTTCAGCACCTGCTGGGTGCTAACTTTCCCCACTCAGTTATCATGTTCCTTATCTCCTCCTGAGCCTCTTCAAGATGTCGATTCTGTGGAGTCCATCTTAGGAAAAACCCTGTGGAAAATATACATAACACAATACAAATATAAATATAATTTAATTTAACATATTTCAAACATACATACCTCTCCAGAGCTGAAGAGACTGTGGGTGAACTGAGGGCCAAATTGCCAAATCAGTGGGGTCATACAGGGGGTTACTGTACACCTCTCTTTCCATTGGCCTCAAGACAGCACGAAATAAACAGTAGGTCTTCTCTTTTACTCCCAGGGCATACCTAGGAATTTTGTTTAAAAAGAAAATTAAAACATTTTCATTTCTTTTTACAATCACTTTTACAATCACTAACCTCTCCTGTTCTGTGTTACACAAGAAGGAACCATAGTTAGAGGCATACGCCTCTGTTGCTAGTTTCAATAACAGAGCCTCAGAGAAACCCAGTGCCAGGGGGAACTGTCTCCACAGCTGCCACACACAGTCCAACAACAGCAAGAAGACTGGGGACTCCTGCTGGAGGCGGGCATGGGAATAGGCCGAGTGGGCACATCGGTGTTGGAAAGGATGTCCTGCCTAAAATGAAAAATGAAAAATAACAAATTATAAAAACAAACACAATGTTAATTTCACTAATTAATGATAATATATTTCTCACCTGCACCCACTCTCTCTCCAGCAGACACAGGAATCCCTCCAAAGTGCGACATCTTGGGTCCATAATGAGTTGGGCCAATGTGCTGATGAGCAAAGTCGAGTCTGTTCCTTCAGAGCCATGAACAAGAACCGAATGGCCATCTCTGTTGTTAAATTAAGACATTTGGCTTTACTGACTCATTATACAGTACACACCTACACAAACACAATTTGACATATTGTTGTTTTTATTACACTATAAATAACAGCAAATACATCCACAAAAACATTTTAAATATATATTTGTATTTGTGTAAACTTTCTGTACTTGTATTCTTTACCTCTCAACACACTCTGCTACCAGACCAGCTGTTGACAGAGCGGTCTGCACATGCGAAAGCCATTTGGAATTCTCAAGTTTACTAAGCCAGCGATCCATATTGTGCGATTCATCTCCACAGGCTTCCACCAGTTTAATAAGACTTTCTTGCAGTGCTTTACCCCTGAAAAGAAATATATGTGATAAATGATAACAGGTGAATTGCTAACAATAAGTCAAACATGGAGGTGCACTGACTTCTCCATATGTCTATGCAGTCTCCTCCAGCTGCTGTAACATGACTTTGGTTCAAATCCTCCCCCTGTCATCCGTGCCTGCTGGGACTGCTGACTGGAGCGAGTGTCAATGATGAAACCCTTATCTGAACTTCCAATCACAGCCTGTAGAAGGCGCTCATCTTCCCCACAGCGTTTCCTATTGGCTCCTATCAAAGGCTGACTGCTGCGCACTATAACCTACAGTGAAAAAAACAACAACAATAAAATTAAAATAAATTAAGTAAACCATTAAAGTGAAAAAAACGTACCATTCCATTTTTATGATGATAGTAGCACAGAACAGGAAAACGCCCCCCATGTCTGAATTTAGCCACTTTCTTCAATGTTTCATCATCTATAGATTTGGGGACAATAACTGATGCAGGGTAGGAAGGACAGACTGAATAATCCCTGTTCACAATACTCAATCTCCATACAGAGGTCTAAAAAACAGAAAATAAAGAAAGTCAATGAATAATTTTAATCATCTTCTATAAATATGTTTAATCTCCAATTGCTGAATAGCCAGTTACACAACATTCAGGAGCTCATACATAAAAGTGGATCTTTGCGTACTTCTGTTACATTTACAGAGCAGGCTTGATATGTGTATCATGTTCACCCGTCTAACCAAAGCCTATAGCCTCTTTAAATGATGACAGGACAGTAATAGGCCTGGGAAAGTTGTTTCTTTAAAACACATGTAACAATAGTCACCCCAAGGTCGATTAGAGACTTTATATTCCCTGAGGAAGTGTATGTGCAAATCAAGCTGTAAGCAGACCAAACTGAAGTCATGGAAAAATAAACACGTATCTAAAGAGGGACATTAAAAAGCGCAACCCTTCACCCCTGTTCAGCTTCCGCTTCCTTGCAGTTTTCCTGCCAGGAGGCCGGTATGGCATTATCAGTGGGAGAAGTTGCCCCTCAAGCAGTACATGTAACTTTTAAATATAGAACAAATGTTAGACTTCTTACAATCCCTTTTGTTTCTCTGAAGAATTGTTCGGGAGTTGAAAGTCCCCACTGACCATCCAAGCTCTGATCTGAAGGTCTGTAAAAGAATGGATACATCTCCGGCACACTGTCGAGATTGGACAGAGTCTAACAAGATAAAAGAAAAAAAGTGATTTTAGTATTACAGAATTCAAATTTGTAAAAAATCATTATTTGTACCTCGATTGAGTGTGCTATGTTGAGACACTGCTCCATGCCGGGGATATCGATCTGGATCACACGCAGATCCTTACATTTGATTGTGATTGTGCCTGAAGAGCCTGACCTTCAAAAACAATTAAACACACCGAGAAAAGAAACTGAACTTATTCCCATATCCATCCCAGAATAGTCCATTACTTTCACTTTACTAGAAACCCACTTTGTCATGTTGTAAATGTTACGTCATATGTGTAAAGAGTGTGTTGTTTCAGGATTCTTATATATTTCAATTTATGTATGTTATTAGGTTCTTTTTTTCAGACCTAGAGTGTTATTTCATACTCACACTCTGAGGAAGACGCTAGTGAGCAGTCGAAACTGTCAGGTATGAAATAACACTCTAGGTCTGAAAAAAAGAACCTAATAACATAGAATATTGGAAGACCAAATGAATCTCATTGGACTATTACGTTCAATTTATGTATTCAAACAGGGGGCTGGAGCTATGTCTGAGATATTTATTCACTGTTAATCTAATTTAAAATGTATGCTATAGATGATACATTTAAAGTGCACTGTATAACTTCAGAAATGTTTCACAGTATGGCATTTAACTCATCAGGTCTATGGTGTGGAGATGACTCTGCTTACAGTATAATGCACATATTCTTGAGCTATAAAAAGACAGGCATGTTAGATAAGTTTAATTCCATACTGTGAAACCTTCCAGGCAAAGGAAATAGCAGTTTGACCCCCCCATTTATAGTGAAGTAAACAATTTTGGCAAAGCTTGAGCAAATAGCATGTTAAAACCACACTGACACAGCATTAGATTCAAGTTGTGTAAAGAGTTTACCAATTTCCTGAGCAGTGAATTTGCATGTAGCCAACAGAAATTACCATTGCAAAAAGCTGCGACACAACACAAGATGATTTCAAACCTTTCACCGTGGTCAGCAAAAGAAAACAGACTGGAATAGCCCAAAAGGTTTTCCACACTGGTTAAAGAAAAAGGAGGAACATTTATACCATGCATTTGAAAAGGCACAAGTGGAGTTACACGTGCAAAATACTGCAATGAGATACTTTAATAAGCAACAGGCTTTTGGGGGCTTTTCACCTTTTCTCTATGGCATCGATGTTCCGGAGCAGTAGTAAAACCTGGCTGCAACTTTGGTCCTCTCTGTCCGAGAAGAGGAGGTGGTGTCCCGTGATGCACAGTGCGCCTCTGCTCGGTGGGTGCAGCGGCTGCCGGAGCACTACATCCTCCACATTGGCTGTTTTTATATGCTCAGAGAACTCCATCAGTTTACAGTTTAAAACAAAAATAGACGACTCGGATACTACAACAGGTGGACCCTTACACAGGCCAACTTAGCACAGTCAAAATGAAAATGAAAGAGCTCTAGAGAAGCTCTGCTTTGTTAAGATCCGTAAACCTGATTATAGACAACTTTCATTTTTGCCTCCAATGTAAACGTCTTATGGAGCAAATGTTTCTATCCACAACTAAATGACACTTAAATGTGTTTAAGCAACAAAAGACGGAAGTACACGTTTCCTGTGAGCATTTCTCAGAAGCTCACGCAGTTGGTTTCATGACTGTGATGCGGCGGTTTGCACCTCTCCACTAGATGGCAGCAAATTCAAATGAATGCCAGAGGATAATTTACATTTAGGAGCGTGCAAATGTTCTGCAGGTTCTGCTCCACAGCACTTGATTGTCTACTATCATGAATAGGTTATTTGCCATATCCTTTTTTCCTACAATCCTTAAATCAGCATAGGGCAATTAAAACAATACTAAGCCTAATGATAAATGAATCCCATCCGTGTGCAACATGACCGTCAAATTATAGGATTTATTTTTTTTCACTAATAAAATAAGAAATCCAATCTAATCATCCAGCTGACAAGTTGGTTAAAATATAATGATGGATTATAACATTGTTACAAATTGCCCAGCCTCCTCCAGTCCCGTGTGGGATGGCCCAGTGCTGCTGCTCCTTATCTTCCTTATAAAGGAGGGAAGGACCTGTTGCGCGTTATTCGCCAAACTGTCAAACAAGCAAAGGACTGAATGCAATTGCTGAAACCGTTGTAATGGATTGTAAAGAAAATGAAGATGAATCGTCCTCCTCCGAGGGAGATCCAGAGGATTTGGACAGTTTAAAGGCTCTCACTCAGAAGTTAAAGTTACAGACCCGCAGACCATCCTATCTGGAGTGGCAGGAGCGCGTTCAAAGCAGACCTTGGAAGAACAGCTATACAGCTGACTGCTCAGAGGAACAAGTTGTATCCGTGCCCGCAGTTTTAAGAAATGAGAACTCAGAATTAGTTGTACGTAACATTTGTGGATTTGATACAATTGATGATGCTTTGGAGTTTTTGAGGAAAGAGCTGGTGAGTTATTCTATAAGCTACTAATAAATACAACTTTAAAGTATCTAAAGTTAACCAGCCTGTTCAATTAATAAGTTAATACGTCAATATACAATATTCTTTCAGACATCAAATATAGATTTATTACTAACCAAATACATACATTGTTCATGCCAAAGGCAATAAAAGGGTTTTGGGATGTAGATGTTCCAACTTCCTCATAAATGACACTGTAGTGATTTATAAGAACACACACCTGGTTACTGAGCACACATTAACTGTTTACTCTCTGCTTTGCTGCTCAGAGAGAGATGCAGCTCCAGGACAACCGCCTGGCTCGACAGCTCATCCGTCTGCGCAGTGAGATCCACAGTCTCAAAGTGGAGCAGGTGTGTAACCGGCACAAGGAGATGCTGGAGGACGCTACCTTTGAGCTGGAAGAGTGCGGCGAGGAGTCCGATCTGCTCTGTGACATCCCCATGAAGGCCGCATTTGCCCTGTCCACCCCCCTCAAGCACATTGGTCTCACCAAGATGAACATCAACTCCAGGCGTTTCTCTTTGTGTTAATCCTCTGACTGTGTGTGGCCCTATCACAAGACAGACCACCACCTCCAGAGCTGCTCCTCTGGCACATGGACAGATGTACTCTTGAGCGCAAAGACTTGACTTTAAGAGCCTGTTTCATGCACCAGTAAGATCTGGGTGTGCAAACCAGATAAAAAAAATTCTTCTAACACCCTCCACTGTAAAGATACACAAATATAGACTGGAATGTCACAAAGAGCAATGTGCAATATTTAATGGCTGAGATTAATGTATTCTAATTCAACGTGAGGTATTAAGGAATAAGGCTGCACAATAATCAGCAAATAACAAAATATCCAGTCTTTGTAAAGGTAAACCTTGCTCTTCCTGTTGTTTAGACCTCTAAAAACATGTTCTGAAATGCGTGGGACCATATTAGGTGTCAAATATTAGACATAAATAAAGTCAGTGACAATGTGCACACTGAGTCTAAACACAATCCTAGTTTTTAAACATGTATTGCAAATCTCATCGCAATACTTGACAGGAAAATTGCAATGAGATTGTTTTTCTCAACATTGTGCAGTAAGTAAGCAAACATACAGGCACATTCCTCTGTGGTCTTATGACTTTACTCTTGACATCCACAGTCACAGGCCACCGGAAGGTCATTATTACACCTCTGCTTCATGCACCAAAAATATCTCTACAGCGCTGTGACAGGACACAGAAGGCTGTGTCTAATGCCTCCACTTAAATCCCACTTTAGATTATTGATGAAAAACACAATGGGACCCTGGCCGAACTGCAAAAAAAAAAAAAAAAAGAAAGAAAAAGAAAAAGAAAGGAAAAATAAATGAACATATTGCTCAGATTATGCCATTGGAAAAATTATTACAGGGACTGCTGCCATTTTTGATGACACTGTAAATAGCCAACTCAAAACATTAGTTAACACAACATTTTGTAACTGATTTTGCATATACAGATTTTTCATGAATGTTATTTTATTTGTATTTTATTTGTATTTTCGTGACAATTAAAAACTAAGCTATGTACACAATTATATTCCCATGCCATCTGTGTTATTACTATCCACCCTAAATGCTAAGTCTTTCTCTGCAGTGTCTTCCTTTTTCTCTAGTTTGTACAGTGGGGCAACTGAACATATGAGTGAGGCCCCAAAGGGATGAGCACCTCCAGAACACAATTAGCCAAACAAGCCCCCGAATGTGCCTTGGCAGTGTGTGGCTGCTGTGAAAAATGAGAGCACTATTCAACAGTCATAAAGCAGCATACTCTGGGACATGGATGACCTCATGTGACTTGAGATCTCAGCAGTAAAAGGAAAGCATAAACGAATATGAAACAAGAATGTATGAGGGAACACTGCACAGCTTCAGGGTCGACTCTGGTGAAGGATTTTACCAAGAAAACAGAGAGTTGTATTCTGTGTCCACATTTGCTCTTCAACCATTTCTACTGAACCTACTCTCATGACATATACGTATAACATATGTAGTGTTTTGGGTAACACATTTAAATGGCATAATCCTCATACATCAAAGCCATATAGGTTTGGGCACAAGAAAATGCAAATGGGACAGAGTGCACCTGCATCTTCAAACAGCTGATAGGATCTTATTGTGATTGCGTAACAGAATATGATTTCCAACCACTTAAGGAAGTATCCATAACCGAGGTCAACAGGAAGAGAGGAATTCCTTCTCAAAATAGTACACTTGAATGCATAAGCTTATTACCACTCAAACTAAAATGCTTAGACACACTTAACAGCATTCACTGCACAAATGAGTTACATTATGACACATGTTCAGTGACAAAGTGGTAAATATGTAGTGCACTTCCTGTAATGTTTGGACTGACTTCCTGCATGCATATTGTGTTGCAGAAGACTTCACCACAAATGTGGTCCACAGCGGAGTCTGCTAAACGGTAGAAAAAGTGTCAACAATTAGTGGATAGGTGATTATGGTCTGAATAAAAACACATTTAACCTCAAGCATGTGTTGCATCCGTGACTAGTTTGTGAAGCATATTTTGAAGGTTTGAACCAAGAATAGCATTTATTTACAAATGACCACTGGCCGCAAAGGGGAAACCACAACACATGTCGATCAAAATAGACGTAACTTGCTAAACATTTCTTATATTTTACACAAAATTCAGGCACATTATTGTTGCTAAATGGTCTAATTGTCTTCACTGCCTCACAGGCCTTTCCATTATGGCTGGGAATCGCAGGGTCCCCCACGAGTCAATATAATACTCAATACATTCGATACAATATTATCATTATATAGCGATACATGAGATTATCGATATATTGTATATGATATTCGACAATATATCACTATTTTTAAGAACCAAATGCATTTCAACAACAAACCAATATCTGTGCAAACTCAATATGTAACCATTAAAAGAGTGAATATGTCAAATGTATTGCATGAACAAATTTCCTTTCTCTGAACAAACATCAAAAATGTTAGCCAGGCTGGCGTCACCTAGTGCCTCCACTCAATTCCATTTCTTTCCAGTGACTACGTCAGGAATCAGAATACACTAGACGGTCTGCAAAAACTCCAGAAGTGCAAGTCCAGGTACCAGCCAATCAGCGAAGAGCCATACATTCTGTGTTGGCAACGATTCTCAAGATCGAGGATTTAAAGCCGGAACAAAGCGAATGTTTAGTGAATTTTATCAAGGGGAAAGACGTTATTGTCCTTCTCCCTACAGAATTTGGGAAAAGCTCAATATACCAGTTGGCCCCATTAGTGGCGCATTACATACGACACGACCAAATAGCAGCAATTGGTTAAATAAAAAAGCACCCGCCTACCGTCAAGTGAACTAATTCTAAGACTGCGAGGGATTCATCAGCCGGTTTCACTTCGTAGAAACCGGCTGATGAATCAGAGTACAAAATTGTACCACTGTTGCAAAATAATTTAGTAAAATGTACCAAAAAATTCTCAGGGTGACATATTGATACAGCAGCCCATAATAACAACAGTGTATTACTAAATCATGATATATCAGTATTTTGATATTTTAGCACACCCCTACTTTCCATGGTCTCCTACACCTCATGAGAGGATTGGAATTTACCATGCAAACTCCTACATGGGGAAATGAAGTGTCCTGACCGCCTCAACGTGAAGCCTATAACGTTTCCCATGTGAACACACAGCTGCATGTTGAGCACCTGTCTAGCACAAGCCTCAACCTTTCAACGACAGGAAGCACTGGGGCTCTGTTTGCACCTACAGTCAGAACTCGTGTCAGAGAAGATACACAGTGAGTTATAAGAGGAGCGGAGTATGACATCTTCACACCCAGGCTCCCTGCATGAACATTCACCAGACAATATAATCAAATAGTAAATAGCTGTTTTCTGGCAGGGGAAGTATCACATTTAAAAGGTAAGTGATCAGAATACAGTTGGAATGGAGGACATTATAAGAGAAGATTTTATTTAATTGTGTTAATTTCACTGCCATAACTCTATTTAATAATACAGTTAATATTATAATATGGATTTGAATTTATATACTATGAACCTCAAGAAATATTTGTATTAAGATTTGTAAAAATATATTTAAAAAAATCTATGCCTATATAATCTGTGTTAAACAGGGTATGGCAGGTGTGGCAGCTGTTTTTTTGTTTTTTTTTGTTTTTTTAGCATTTTAAAGCTTCACATTATTCCTTTACTGACTTTAGAGTACTTTCCCACAATACTTTCCCACAAAGAGATTGTTTGTAAAAGTGCTGGCTGTCAATCTTAAAAAGAAGAAAGAAAATGGAAAATGCTGACTTTGTTTGCTTGACTTTGAGTGCTAGCAGTAGACATGGGAGTGCTAATTATGACAAAAACGTGGTGGCCCAGTAATCCCCTTGTGATTTGTTCAATATGGTTGAAATTTGTGGAGGGTTGTTACTGCCGGGTCAGTCCACTTCAGATTTTTCTCACGGCTCTCAGCCTTTGGAACCAGCGGCTGCCGCGATTAGCCCACTGACCCTGATACATGAGTGCTCCAAAGGGAGTGTGAGGCTGAGAAAGGCAGTTTGTTCTGATGATCACTGTAAACCAATAAACCAACACGTGTACAATTTAGAAAAGAAACAGTCTTCCTCTAATGTGCACAAGTTTCAGTTTAAATTTAACATATTATTAAAAATAGAAATTAAATTGCCTTGGTTATTGCCTACACACTAAGACTAAAATTAAACAAATCTCCAAGTCAATTATAGCATCATCCCAATATTAAAATTTTAGACTATATGTTTTTATCTCAAAAAGCTTTTTTTTTTTTCTTTTTTTTTCCCAAGAAAAGATGGGCTGTAACTGCAGTTCAGACTACTCAGATGCTGAATGGACTGAGAATTTTGATGAAATCTGTGAGCACTGCAACTGTCCCATCCCTCCCTCTGAATGTAACCCAGTAAGTTAATATAATTCAGTATTAGTGAATACATTTGTGCTGTTTCAGTGTGCTTACAAAAATCTGACTACACAGCAATGATAACAAGTCTTTTGTTATCTCAAAGTTAATGCAATACACTGCATTTTGTCTTTCAGAAAAATGATCTCAAAATGTACCCTCCTGTGCTCTCTCATCAGTATACAGATGACCGGATTCCCTATTCCTCACCACAGTCGCCACCCACCTCTCCATTGCCAGGTACAAAATAATGCATTTATCCATTCATTTACACAACATTTAGTTCCAGCATGAAGCCATTGTGGTTTGTGGTAAATAAAAACAAATATTCTAAAATGTCTTGTACCTCTGTATAATTATAAATCCCATAGTCGACAATCTGGCAGTGGCCATTTACAGCTACGAACCTGCCCATGACGGTGACTTGGGATTTGTGAAGGGGGACAAACTCAAAATTATCAACAAGTAAGCAACTGTTTTCTTCAACTTTGTCCCTGAGTCTCTATTGTGTTGTAATGATTATGCAAATCCATGCTTAAAGAAAGACTTGGTAAAAACGAAACTTCAAATAGCCTTAAGGAAGCATGAATAAATACTGAATTCATAATGAACAAACTATTTATCTGTGGTACCAACAGACTTTTTCAGCAATATAATTTATTTTTTTTATTTTTTTTTTCTCTTAGGGATGATCCGGAGTGGTATTATGCCGAATCTCTAACCAGTGGAAAGAAAGGCTTCATCCCATTCAACTTTGTGGCCATGAACACAGTAGAGTCAGAACCGTACGTCAGTCACACAGGAAATATATCTCACATACTCTTCTCACATCACCATGACAACCCCAAAAATATATTCTAGACTAAGGGATGTGGTAAGGTCATAGACTCAAACTCTCTGTGTTTCAATGTTGCAGGTGGTTCTTCAGGAATATTTCTAGAAACGATGCCATGAGGCTCCTGCTAGCCCCTGGAAATACTCAAGGATCCTTTCTGATTCGGGACAGTGAGACCACCCCAGGTAAGGAGTAAGTCTGAATGAGTCATGCCCAAAACACACATCATTAAGCCTTTTGGTATTGAGTTAAAATGGATGCTTGCTTTCAATGCGGCCCATCCCTTGAGCTGTTATTCTATCATCACAGTGAAACATGTGTTATTATAAAATGAGCTCACCCACGTATACATTTGAACAACATCAGCTGTGTAGGCAATCTAAAATTTGCCTTGTATATAATTACATGACTCTACAAACTTCCTTAAAAAGCCTTGGTGTTTGTTTTGTCCTGCTCTCTTTATAATTACTTTACATTTTTCATTGCAGGCAGCTACTCGTTATCTGTCAGGGATTTTGACCCAAACAAAGGCGATGAAGTCAAGCACTACAAGATACGCAGAATGGACAACGGGGGCTATTACATCTCAGCCACGATTTCCTT